GAATGATGAACAGTGAATAACAGGCTGCTCAGAGTCACTAATCGAGCAAGGACCATTAATGAACCACTTGCTGCTGTCTGCCACCTGAGATTCGGGTGCAAAATCAGAGTCCAGAGTGTCCTGCATTCTGAGAAGGGTCATCAGTGTGATAGGAGGGAACTGAACTTCTAGTACCCTTCACGGGCCATGTGTGGACACACCACCCTAGCCAGGACTCCAGTTTATATTCCTTACAAAAAAAAAAAATGGAGAAGAGAACCAAAATGAATAAATAGTTTCTCTGCCAAAGCAGATGAACAAGGAGCAAGAAATGAGCCTGCTTGTGGTGTAGTGTGAGCCTTGGCATGGATTGTGGCACAGCCAGGGCTTGCCCTAAAATAAAGCCCAGGGTCGATCGCTTAAGCTGATACTAAATAAGCATCAACGGTTGGTGACTTGATCAGAGTCCATAAACACACACATGTATGAGATTTAATTTTTTTTTTCAGAAGTTTTAGCATGTGTGTTGTCAAGATGAAAATGCTGGGCAGGCTAATGGGAGTGCAGTCTAATCACAGTAAATCTGGGTATTTTTTTCTCCTTCCTATTCCTCTGCCATCACAAGTCACTTAAAGACAGGCAAAAAGTCACATTACCTTAGTAATCCAGAAACTGTTTTACAATCTGCCCCAGACAAATACAGTATCATTTCAGGTTGCAGAGGGAGGTAAGCACTGTGCTCCCAGTTTGCTGGTACCTGTTCTGCCTGTTCCTGGAGGCTCAGTCTCACAGTTCATGGAGCGCACGAGGAGAGGAGCGTTCAGCACGTGTGGCCTGAGCCCTCAGACCTCCTGCAGCTGGGTCAGTGCTGAAGAGCAGCCTGTTAGAAAGGGGCTGTGAGGCAGAAACACCACACAGGGCTGTGCAGGGTCCGGAATAAACACTTGGCTCAGTCACTGACTCTTTTGCAACTGCCAGGCAATTTGCACAGTTCAGAGTTTCTTCTAGAAATCAAGGGAGCAGTCCCTGCCCTGGTGTCTGTGAGCTGTGCAGGGGCTGCCCTTGGATCTGGGCTGTACAGCATCCAGTCCAGCAGCAATTGCAATATGCTCAGTATCAGCTGAGCACAACTCGACAGCAAAAATAATCCAGAAACAACGTTCTTCTGTTAGTAGAATAGCTCAGAGAATCTTAAAAAAGCTACAATTTTATAACAAAAACTTCAACTGACAAATTCTTTGGAGATGACAATATGTAGGATAATTAGCAATGGGAGGGAAGTAGAATTTCTGAGTATTATTACCTGTCATTAACAACTTTCATATCTCATTGAGAGCGCTTTGCTGCACCTCAGTTTGTAGTGATGAGTTAAGCTTTCTTATGACACCTTTTCTAAGCATCTAAGAACCTTCAGTTACTGCATTTAGTTCCAGTAAGTCAGTAAAAGTCAAAGTGCTCAGAATCCCAGTTTAGAACAGCCTGCATAGCATTCATCAAAGCAAACCTAATCCCCTAAAAACACTCCGTTCAAGGCACTTGTTGAATACAATCATCTCAAAATGTCAGAATTATGCTCATTTAAATAATTTGACAGCTTCCAAGAAGACACCTGATGAGCATCACATTCAAGTGTCAGGAAGCACAGAGAAGTGCCAGAAAAAGTTAAATCCAAAGAAATGCTATCAGCTATTAAATGAGCATTACAATACAGTTACTACTAAAAAAGATCTCATTTAAATGGAAAATAAACTTTACATTCAAAGCAATTTCTTAAAAAGAACATACATTTCACCCAAACCACATCCCATGTTTCTCACTAATGAAGTCTCCCAGCTCACTGAATCCAGGAGGCAGACACAGATGACAAACAGCAGCACACTCTGGGAGTGGGTGAACACCTCAAGACCACTAACTGAGTCATTGGAGATACTACTTGTGTTTTTTGTTTTGTTTTTGTGATAGTCATTGGGAATTACAAGAACTCAGTAGATACAGATTAAACCTTTAACGGTCTCTTTGGTATTTAAAATCTGAATCTCTAAGTGAGACTATTCCTGAAAAAATCTTTGCCCTGATTTGCATATGCTCCAGTTATTTCATTGCACCAAATACTATGTGTGTTTTATATATGGGCTTGGGGCTTCCTGTGTGTTTGTGATATGCTTTGAGATCCTCTGATGGGAGGTGTTACCTAAATACAAGCAATTTGATGCTTAAGTGTCTAGAATTCCCAGTGGACATCTGCACTCAAGCCTTGCTGCCATCACAAATGAAAAACATTTGGAATCCTTAATGTGATTTTTAATGGACATATGTTCACAACACAGTGCCACCAATTTGGCATATTTAATGTCTTCTCAAGAGAAGCCCACAGTTTGTATAGCAAGATTGTGGGAGGTTAGGATTGCAGTGTGAGAAAATTTGCACAACACCTGCCTGAATATAATTTAATTGGCAGAAACTAATGCTCTAGGTTTGGGGATTTTTTTTCCTCTGCTCAAAACTGAAGAGAAACTAGGACTAATCCTGCTGTCTTACACTTTCAATTTTAAAAAGTTTTTATTCTGACTTCACTTGTGCTGCAAATATGATCATTTTCTGGTCCACTCTCTTTTTTCCTGACAGCTGAAGTGCATTGCTGTTTAACTCCTAGTTCTTATTTCTATGTATAATGATTTATTGGACCAGCAGGAAGGACTCAGTATTTTTGTGCTTTACTGAAAAAGGGATATGCTGAGTATTACTGACTACTGTGCCCATTTTTTAATGAAGCACTTAACAATATGTTTTAAAAGTAAGAGAATTGGCTGAAATGTTTCTGATCACCTCCACCAGCAGTTTGTAGGCTCCAAAGACAAACACCACAGTTGTCCTTATTAAATAGGCTTTGGTGATACGTTTGCTTACAGCAGAGCCCCATCTGGAGCAGTCTTTAGCACCTCTTATCCTACCAGATTTTTGTTTTCCTTTTCAGGAATGTTTGGCCTTGCAGTGCATCAAGGACAGCCCCTCTTACTTCACTGTTTTCTTCCCTTTGCGTTTACAAAACATAATAAAGAGCTTTGCAGGAGAGATAGAGGATGTAGGCCTAGGGGAAGCAGTGTGAGATTAACCTCCATGATATCTCAGCCTGGCAGGGCAGGAAGACAAGCTGCAATGCCAGACCTGGCTGTTCAGGGCTTGCAAGTCACTGCTGGCTGCCTGGGCAAAGCCTTACTGGGAACATCTCACTGGCTGCACAAGCCTAAGCAGGTGGAGGGTTAAGAGCATTCTTCATATAGGATACATCAATTTTGTTGCTTTAAAGGACTCTCTGAAACTTAGCTGGAAGTCCCACATTTTCTCTTCTGCAAAGTACCAGTGACAATATTTTATACCCATGGTGGAAGCCCCATCAATGCAAAAAGTGACAGGTTGGAATGACAGCTTCTCTTGATCCAGGCCCAGAGTAAGGAAAGCTAGATGAGATGGAAGGAGGGTTATTTCTACAGTTTCATTTGCCTGAAGCACTAGAGTCTACACACACCCAGACTGCATGAGCAAATAGACATGAAGATCAGTCTTCCTTCATGGGCGTGATGGTCTAAAATGGAGTAAGGGAAGGTAAAGAGCTGAAAGAGGGGCAGGATAAGTTAGAGACAAAACCTCAAAATGTCTGAGGTCACACTCTCACCCTCAGAATTATAAAAGCAGTAGTGACTGCTAGTACCATATACTGCCACAACAGATAGATGTGCACACATCTGCATATGTACATATGTATACAGTACTCTTCACACAAAATTGTGCAGCCACACTCCTGAGCAGTTTTGTGCCTTTTGAGTACTAATTTAAAGACTGGTTAAGATTTTATCACCCCCACAGGACTCCCACTAAAATAAAACATAACATTTGAAGTAGGGGGTTAATTACTGGGGTAGCTGCTGATCTGCCTCTTCTGAGCTTCTAGCAATAGAAAATAATTGTTCTGTTTGCAAGAGCCTAAAGCAAGCCATAGGCAAAATCTGTTCTCCTGCACTGAAGAAAATGTAAAATTTAGATCTAGTGGAAGGTGTCCCTGCCTATGACAGGGGTGTTGGAACTAGATGATTTTCAAGGTCCCTTCCAACCCAAACTATCCTGTGATTCTATGACTTAGATTGCCTTTTTTTTTTTTTTTTTAACAGAATTGCATGGACAAAAACAAGGCCTCCAGACAGGCAGTGTAATGGTTATTCAGGCCTGTCAGTGCTCACTGTTGAACTTTATCCCAGGATCAGGCAATGTTCCCAAGGCAAGTAAACACACCTTGGACAAGCCTCCACTTCACAGCCAACTAGCAAGGATCTGCCTACCAAATGTGCCAACTGCATTTGCCTGGATGACCCCCATGTTCTCAGCTCCAGATACTCCTTGTTCTCAACCTTTCCCACACACAGAGAAGTTATGAGGCTTTTGGTTTTAAAGCCAAATTGGTACAAAGTTTGGTTAAACTGCTGTTTTGTAATACTTCAAAACAACAAACCCAGGGGCTAAGAATTATCACTTTCAGCATTCATTAATCAAACCTGTCAAATGATTACCTCGTCAGGGCTGCTTTGTTGACAACTCTGCATGATGACTGTGTTAGTGGCACTGTCCTAAGACATATCCAGTGGTGACGTAAAGGACAAGCCTCCCTCACCTCACCTAGTGGGATGGACACTACCATGAATATTTAAGGGAGGATGTTTCCTTGGAAAGCAGTGATCGCAGGAGTGCTCCAAAGCAGGTGAAACAGGATCAACTGAAAGGATCATCAGGATCCTCTCTGACATCCAGCTTATAAGACAGTAAGTAGAATGGCCTCTGTTTTTTCCAGCTTGAAATCACCTGTGATCTAAGTTGTCTATAGTGATTATAAAACAGAAATACATGATCAAGTCTATTACAAATTCTACCTTTGCCTTATATGCTGCTAGGAAGGCTTATTGACACTGGTTAGAATGTCATACTGTACTAATACACCCAATGTATTTGTTTTTAGATTGTGATCAGTATTTCAAAGCCACCAACAAGAGCCACTGTAGGTTCAGTAATGCCCCCACAGCTGAAAGCTGAGGTGAATGTCATGCCCAAGGTTGTCCAGGGGGATTTGGAGAGCCTGCCTCCAGAAGCAAGGGACTTCATTGAAAGTAATGCCAAGCTCTGCCAGCCTGAGAGCATTCATATCTGTGATGGCTCAGAAGAAGAAAACAAAAAACTTCTGGACATAATGGTAGAACAAGGCATGATCAAGAAGCTGAACAAGTATGAGAACTGGTGAGTAGCCTGAAGGAAGTATCAACTCAGAATGGCAATATGCATTTTCTATCCTGTTTACTTTTAAAATTGCTTATAACCCTTCAGTATTTGCTTTCCATGAACATTTTGGCACTGTAGCTTACACAGGTGAAATACTCAAGCAAAGCAAACTTTTTCCTCTAAAAATTAATATAAAGCATATTATTCAGTTGGACTATAAACTGTACATTGTCTCCATTGATTAGTTACATCAGGGAACTGAAATAATGTCACGAGACTTATGTAACTGATCATTAGAAATGGACAAATATTATTTAGCAAATACATCTTCTGAAGAATTCTTCTATTTTAGTCAATTAGTTTGTTCATCAAATACTTTTCTGTGGCATTCAAATAGCTCTGTGGGTGTTCAAGTATTATTCAGTACAGGCATTATTCATATCATGCCGATGAGCTTTGACTGTAATGTATTCAGCAAATACTTTTTGCAAGTATTTCATCATCTCTCCCAACTAAACCAACATGAAAGAAGAATGTTAACAACAAGTACATACTCAGGAATTACGTGCTGACCAAGAGATTTTCATGGAAGAAATCTGCAAAGAATTTTGAATAACTAAGTGCAGGAATTTAGCAATCTGTTTGCAGACTATTTGGGAGAGAAAAGGGCAAGATTCATCAGATAAATTATTCATTGTTAATTATATTCTTAGCTGTAGTGATGATGGTTATGACAGCCCAACTAGAACATTTTTATACTCATGGAAAATTTCTATGCACAGAGGTGAAAATGTAAAACAATCCTTTCTATTGTAAATAGATGGCAAAAATTCTTTAAAAGGAAAAAAGCCTCCCCTTTAATAAACTCCTTCACTTTAATGATCATGCTTATACTCAGCATTTCCTTTGTGATGCTTTTAACTTGGAGGACTATGCCAATTTACTAAGCTGGATTCTGATCCCACAGGCACTTACACCAACACTTAAAGTACTTGCTTGGCATCCACTTTGCTTGGAGCATCATTTTGTGGTCCCCATGCAAAACAACTTCACACTGATGAGAATGAAATGAGATTTACTTTTCCCTGGAAGTTAGCAACAGAGAATAAGACTGAGATAAGAGGCAGAGGAGTATTAATATGTATCCAGAATTTCCTAGGCCATATAATTTGTTATTCATACTGGAAAGTCTTGAAGCAATTTGTATGAGAGAATGCCTGTTATACTGTCTCTGTCACTATAGTTTTGGCCTTACAAAGCATTGTGCCCTTTTGTGCTAAACCAGTCCCATAAAGGGTAAGAAGTGCTATATTGATCATTAAAGTCTAATTTCCCAATTGTGGTGAAATGCAGCTGGCTGGCTCTTACTGACCCAAGGGATGTGGCAAGAATAGAGAGCAAAACTGTAATCATCACTCAAGAACAGAGAGATACCACTCCAATCCCTAAAACTGGAACCAGTCAGCTGGGTCGCTGGATGTCTGAAGAAGATTTTGAGAAGGCCTTCAATACCAGGTTCCCAGGCTGCATGCAAGGTAGGCAAGAAAAGGGTGGTTGCCATTGAACTTCTAGGGTTACAGACACTACTAGTAGTAGTTACTTTAATCTCTAGAGAAAGATTTTAGCATAATGTTTATACCCCTGATATTAGTCACATTGTTAGTTTTACCTGGATCTTTACCATAGATCTAAATGCCTGTGCAAGGATAGTCCTCCGTCTTTTTCCAGCATTCTTCTCTTCAGAAAGTGGGGCTAAATAAAGTAGGAAAATGTGGGAAATTCTTTCCAGAAAGCCACATGGCAGATACGAAGTGAGGAGAGAGTGGAGGACCCCCATCCCCAGCAGCAGCTTTAGGTTAAGCAATTTACACCAACAGAGAACTTGGCTTCCACCCACCTTTAGTACTGGCTAAGCAATTTGTCTGATCAGCTGCTTGCAGTATTTAAGGTAAAACCTCTTGCTTCACAGTTAGACAAACAAAGCTACACCTCTTTAAAGATAATCAGAAACACCCACAAGACAAACAGTTTTTAAAGAAGGGAGAAGCAACCTCCATATCATTAAAGACTATTTGAAAAGCTTCCTGTTTTGCTCTTTGCCACATCTTGCTACTCCTTGTTTTCCAGGGCGTACAATGTATGTTATCCCCTTCAGCATGGGGCCTATTGGGTCTCCACTGTCCAAGATTGGGATTGAGCTGACAGACTCACCATATGTAGTGGCCAGCATGAGAATCATGACACGGATGGGAACAGCTGCTTTGAAAGCCCTGAACAACGGGGAGTTTGTGAAGTGCCTTCACTCGGTTGGATGTCCTCTACCACTAAAAGGTAAAAGGCATTAAAATCTTAACCCTGGCAATTCCCTGGGGCATGTTTTAGAGGTGACTGCATGTTCTCAGCACATGGGAGGCACTCAGCGTAGAAGACCAGGGTGGTCTAAGCAACTGCACTAGGTTCAGGACTCAATTAATAGAAATAAAGCTCAATGAAAGTTTCATGGAAAGGAGATTATTATCTCAAGTACTTACCAGGGGGTTTCCCTTAAAGCATCTGGTATGGGTTGGTGTCAGAGGCGTAATGCTGATGGAACAACAGTGTGATCCAGCATGGAAATTGCTGCATTCATGAGTACAACATTCTGTTCTGCAGAACCATTAATCAACAACTGGCCGTGCAACCCGGAGTTAACGCTGATTGCCCATCTCCCGGATCGCAGAGAGATCATCTCATTTGGCAGCGGTTATGGAGGAAACTCCTTACTGGGGAAAAAATGCTTTGCTCTTAGAATTGCCAGCAGAATTGCCAAAGAGGAGGGCTGGCTAGCTGAGCACATGCTGGTAAGAGCTATTAAATCATGTGTGTTTGAACAGCCATTAAACCCTAAATTAACACAACATAAATGCATCACATCTTGCTGTCAATGAAATTAGTCTCGTATGGGTAGTCCTGAAACGTTTGATATGAATTTAGCACATGGCAGGCTAATGAGGAATCTGGAAAGTGCTTGCAAGATTAAGTACCAAACATTTTAAAATAGTACCTGTAAAGTCAGAAGCCAAGAAAGATTTGGAACTTCTGAGAGTGGCTACTTGTAGGCAGACCCATTAATTAGATCAGAGCTTAAACATCATTACTGGGCATTCACATTGTCCATAGAAATTTAATAGCAAAGATTAAAGCAAATTTAAAAAACTGTCTTTCATATTATAAGGAGTCCTATGCACTGAAAAACCTGCAAAGATTAGATTTTTCTAAACAAGTTCTGCTTTGTACCCTTGCTGCCTTTATTTTCTGCTGTCATTTAAACATTCCACTACTGTCAAACACAACTGAAAATAAGAATTTCAAAGTGCATAAGAAAACAGTCTCAAAAAATATACCAACATACTATGAGAAGTGCTGAAGTGTCCATGCATGAAGTACTTACCCTTCACTCATGCAGTCTTGCCTGGCTTTATTGTGAGCTGAACAACACAGCTGTATACTGTCTGAGTATCTTTAATCAGCAAGAAAAAGTTTGACTTCTATACATACCTGACATTTTAAAAATATATAAGAACTCCTTAGAGATATCATAAGGGCAAGAAGAGTAGACCTTTTGATTAATAAAGTACAGTTTGAGTTATTTGTCAACTATATTATGTAGTGCTTCTGTTGGAACAAATTTGCATAATTAAATATTCTGTCATTACCACCTGCTGGGAGACAATCTTCAAAATGAAAAGTGCAAGAAAAAAGACCAAGTTTAACTGTTGCATTAATTTTTCAATAGATCCTGGGCATTACTAATCCAGAAGGTAAAAAGAAGTATTTTGCTGCAGCATTTCCTAGTGCATGTGGAAAAACTAACTTGGCCATGATGAACCCAAGCCTGCCAGGATGGAAAATTGAGTGTGTGGGTGATGATATTGCCTGGATGAAATTTGATGAGCAAGGTATGGAACTGAAACTGGATTGGTCTACAGTCCACGACAGGGTGATTTTGATGCAGCAAGACACACTACAAAAAATCTGGATAGAATTAGAACAGTTTGATTTCCCTACCTTTTTTCATTTAACTTCTAGGCAACTTAAGGGCAATCAATCCAGAAAATGGCTTTTTTGGTGTCGCCCCGGGAACCTCAGTCAAAACAAACCCCAATGCTATTAAAACCATATTCAAGAACACCATCTTTACCAATGTAGCAGAAACCAGTGATGGAGGTGTCTATTGGGAAGGCATTGATGAGCCATTACCACCAGGAATAACTCTGACTTCCTGGAAGAACAAGGATTGGACCCCAGATAACGGTAACCTGGTCCACTCCACAGTCTCTCTTGGCTTTTTCCGCTAAATTCAAGATAATTCTGCCATTCTGACCTTTTCCTTGTATTCCATACAGGGGAACCTTGTGCTCATCCCAACTCACGGTTCTGCACCCCCGCCAGCCAGTGCCCCATCATGGACCCTGCATGGGAATCACCAGAAGGTGTGCCCATTGAGGGGATAATATTTGGAGGCCGCAGACCTGCTGGTAAGAAAAGAATCAGCCACGTGTCAAGGCAGAAGTACTGACCACAGAAAGGCTGAAACACAACTGGGCACAAACACAGGTTTTATTTTCACAGCTGCAAAAGCAAGGAAATATCCATGTTAGTGTAACTGCTCCATGTTAGGCTTTGACACACACACTTACACCCACTGATATTTCAATGTCTGAATTGTGGGATGTTAACACAAAATAAATAATGATAATAATACTACTACTAATGGCTGGAGAGAGATCAGGACCCACTAACACAGGCAACACAGACACATAGAAAATTGCCATACTTGTCTCAATTTACTTGCAGTTTAACTAGTTCAGATAGGAAATGGTTAGAGAAATGAATCAGTTGTAGACTGTTTACAGAAAAGGAAGTAAAATAAGTTGATCTGTGAAAGATCACCTGAAGTTGAAAAAAAAATAAAATAGGAGTTATACTAGGTCTGAGTCTAATATGACCACAGGACCAGATTCTATTTCCAGCAAAGTCTGCTCAGGATTCTGAGGTCACAGAAATCTCCCACTAAGCAACTAAACATGCATGTGTTCAGTGATCAGTAGCCAGTTTTTAACACATTCATATAAACTTTTTTGCAATAGAAGGGAAGGAAATGAACTGATTAAAAAAATCAGTTTAAATCAGAATCCATTATACATTAATATGCATTTGGCAGTATTTCAGGTAGCAAAACCTGTTATAAAAATGTTTCTGGACCCCTAAAAATTGAACTTATTTTGTTCTTTACAGGTGTGCCTCTCGTATATGAGGCCTTTAACTGGCAGCATGGAGTATTTATAGGAGCAGCTATGAGATCTGAAGCAACAGCAGCTGCTGAGCACAAAGGTAAATCAAAAGCTAATCTGCCTACCTGTACTAAAAGCAATCCCCTCTGGACTGCCTGTTCTGTCCTGCTCTTTTGCATTTCAGTCTGGGCAGCAAATTGTGCAACCTGTGCATTTTAACAATAGAAAATACTTGCAGTGAAATTAAAAGCCAAATTCTCTGTAAAAGTCAAATTAAGCAAAACAACCCTAGGTGGCAAACACACAGAACAGGGTGCAGACATGGGGCTGCCTGAAGCCTTCATATGGAGTTCTTGTTGCAGTCTGGGATAAAGAAACTTAAGTTCTCTTTTCTGCTGGAGCTCAATATAAATACATAAATGATAAAAGCCAGCTCTTGAGGTTCTTCATTTAGGCTGCTTTAAGAAATTAATTTCCACTTATTACATAAATGAATTTAATTTCTACTGTTCTTTTGTACATAGAGGACAACACTTGTACTGTTTCTTAAAGTTCCTTGGTTCAGATACAGAAGGGTGGGTAAGGGACCATGAACACTAAATCCTGGTACTTTATCATAACTTTGCTATTTATTTTCTTACATTCTCCATTTGTGTTTTGAACAGGCAAAATCATTATGCACGATCCATTTGCCATGAGACCTTTCTTTGGCTACAACTTTGGCAAATACTTGGCCCACTGGCTGAGCATGGCACATCGTCCAGCTGCAAAGCTACCAAGGATCTTTCATGTTAACTGGTTCCGGAAAGACAGCCAAGGGAAATTCCTGTGGCCTGGCTATGGAGAGAATTCCCGTGTGCTGGAATGGATGTTCAACAGAATTGAAGGGAAAGCTTCTGCCAAGCCAACTGCCATAGGTTATATCCCTGCTGACACTGCTTTGAACCTGAAAGGTTTAGAAGATGTCAACTTGACCGAACTGTTTGATATCTCCAAAGAGTTCTGGGAAAAGGAGGTAGAAGAAATCAAACAGTACTTTGAAGTGCAAGTTAATGCTGACCTCCCCTATGAAATAGAAAGAGAAATGCTTTCCTTAGAGATGAGGATAAAACAGTTGTAGCTGATCAAAAGCACAGTTATTTATCAATTCACACATACTAAGACAGGACAAACACATTTTACTGAATCACCACTGGAAGCACAACAGCACACTGAGGGGCAGAGACTTCCCATTAAAAGTAGGCCCCAGTTTACTTAGACCATAGGTAGGGGTATTCTAGAAGTAACTCCAGACCTAATGATTTATCAACTACATCAGATGTTGGGAATAGGTGAGCAGCTGTAGGAATGTTTGAGCACATGGTCTGCAAAATCCAGATCTTTCATGCACTCACACAGAGCCATGAGGTGTGACAATTATTTGCCTAGTTCTGCACACACGATCCAAACCAATCCAGCCTTCAAAGGGGGGCACATTGTTTCTATTGCACAAACCACTAGTGTCTTAAATCCTACAGGAAAGAAGAAACTTAGATGCTGTATATATGTATTACCTAAACATATTTCATGGCTTAAATATTTTTTAGAAAAATGAAGTTGTAACTTTTATCAGAGTGAAAAAATGGCTTTTACTGATGTGTATTTAAGATATTGCTATTATACATGCCTCATGTTCTTGTGATTTCCAGATGTTTTGAATGGCATGTTCTTTAAACTGTTGAAATAAATGTTTATAGAAAACATGACCTCATTTCCAGTATTTATAAACTACATGCATATAAATTGGACCTCCTGTCTATACCACAGCACAAAGAAATTCACATGTGGAAGTTACATGTTGACTAGCATTGAACTGCTACTCCTAAACCAACAGTTTAAGCCATGTACTGACTTTGCAACTTTTATTCAAGCCAAAGGAATGATCCAGAAGTTATGAAACCAGCTGCAAGCAGTCATCCAGCTAGTGACATGCTCTCCATTACTGGGCATTGTTAGTTACTTCAGGTATTTATAAAATAAACTACCCTCTAGGAAAGCCCCATATTAGGACCTTGCTCATTTGCTGAAGTCATAGGATTTGTCTCTGCTCCACAGTACCTTGACTTTTGCAAGAATAACTACTGGAGCTAGTGAAGTAAAAACAGTCTGGGAAGAGTTTTCCAGATCTGTTGAGATGCCTAAAGCCTTAGTGCTCAATGAAAATAAGGGTAGAAGCCCGTGTTGACTTCCCTGTAGATCCAAGATGCCAAAATCATTCCATGTTCTCTCTACTAAAAGTGCCCTTCTTCATGCTTCCCACGTTCCTGGCAGATATCCTACTTTTTCACTTTGAATGCTTGATCTCCCAAAATATATTGCAAATATTTGCTTAGCAAAAAGAAAATCACTTACATTGTGTAATAATTCTCTTTATAGACCCTGCTTCCTCACAAAACAAACAGTGCTAGCACTGGTCAACAGATGCCCTTCGAAGTTTGCTAGGAGAGGTCACATAGCCTGAAAAGCCTCTGACAACCTCCTGACTCCAAATTTAGGACTTCACACAAACATTATCAATTCTGAAGCAAATAACACAGCACAAGTCAATGGACAGATTACACAAAAACCAGACAATGGAAAGCTGTGCTGAAAGCTGAGGACAGCAGTGCATCCTCTGTAGAGGTGATCATCAGTTAACCTGCTTGCTGGTCAAAAACCACATCTGCACGGATGCAGTTCTCCTGTGAGGTCATCTTTAGCCTGTGTACTCTTGAGTGGGCTCCAAATTAAAAGAAAAATCAGGGTGGAAGGCAGTAAATAAGTCAGAGCAAATGACCCAAGAAATACTATTTTATGCACTCCTCAGATTCAAGGACAACTACCACGTGCATAAAATTAAGTTGTTTGTAAAGTAATCCTGTAAGAAGCTGATGAAAGGCTTGGGTCATTCCCAAACTGATACTACAACATTGGATCTAGTATTTGGACAAGCCTGGGGAAGAATGAGGAGATCTAAGAAAATGTGTCATGTTAGTATCAGGGAGTTATGGAGTCTCAAAATTTCTTGAGTCTCATGAGAGGATCCCAGTCCTGAGTAGTGCAAACAGGTTCCAATCACATTTTGAAATGGTGCCCAGTAACGCACAGAAGCTTGGGCCCTTCCAGAGGGCTCTGAGCAGCTCCAGTGTGCTGATCTGCCACTCAGATACAACCAGCCTTAGTGCTCTCAACATTACAAAAGAAACAACTCATACTTCATGGTAGAGGAGTTTGTGCCAAGGGCTCCAGCCCAGCAGGCACATGGACACAGGAGAACAGAGCGACAGCCATCCCATAAAATGCTGCTTCATGAAGAGATGGGCACCATCGCTGCGGACCAACACAACCTTGACCTTGTAGCACACATCCAGCTAGCAAGATTGGTGTTCCAAGGTGCAAACTGCCTTGAGATCTTCATACCCCTGCCCAAACAAGGGGATTTCATTTTCTGACGAACCCCTCACTCTCTCTTCCTCACCCCAAGAGGCTGGCAGCCTTTCCCTCCCTTGAGGGAACCCCACCAGCCTCACTGTCCTCCTCTGGGTGTTCTTTCTGTGTAACAGAACACAACTCATGGAAAGTGGCCATCATGACAACTTCTGGCAAAAATATTTAAACCGTTTGTACTTCTCCCACCCCACACATTTGAACCACATGCACCTTTTCACACATTGACCAGAGACTGATGGGTGTGCAAAACAGTCCAGAAAGTACAGAAAATGGGGAGGAAAAATGCTGTACTCTTCATGCTGAGAAAAGGAAAACTTCTTTTGCATGAGTCATTCAACAGCTCCTTTGTATGTAAATATATCCACAACCCATCAACATCTATGGGGAGTACAATTTACATTTTGAATGATCAAAATGTTTAGCATTGGCAGAGAAAATGTTTAAAAAGAGAGAAGGCGGTGGTTTAAAATTTAGAAACTTAGTCAACCATGCCAGATTATGATCTCAACTTCTCTCCTTCCAACAAATACTATGCTCCATAAAAAACAAAATGAATTAGAACAAAATGCTTTTAAATTGAAATCTGGAAGTTCCCCCAATTTTCAAAAGAAAGAGAGGAAGGCAACAAATGCAGTAAGTTTCAACAAATTAGTAGAGAAATATAAAACTTGGGCTATTAAATGTGATTCAGAGAAGGGAAGTGCAGGAAAGACTAACACATGAAGTGTACAGAGCCATAACATTTGCAACAGCTGTGTTATGAAATGCACTCGGTATTCTGGGAAGCAAGAAACAAAATACTTTAAAACACTTGTGGATGTACTGGTGGCTGAAAAGAAGAGAGGCAAAAATCAAAAACACTGTTTAACCATCCTATTGAGGATATGGTCCCTGGTGCCTTGTTTATGCCACGATTCACTGCCCAACACAACAAACAGTGATGGATGCACCACATCCAAGGGAGGGCTTGTCTCCCTTCAGGTAGTGCTGTCCTTCCATATGACCTTTATCTACTCCAGCAAAAATTCTGGCTTAGGTGCCAGATACTCCTCTTAGCACAGATAAATCCATAGAGCTCAGCCCCAGACCTTGGTCCAGTCTTTGCAGGTTGAGAAGTCTCCCAGCATGATGCCATCTTTTGGCTTCACTTCTAATGTTTTGAGGTCAAATTTTGGCTGTGTTTTGTCTTGTTCCTTCAAATCCCTTTCTCAGATGTCACTCCCAGGAGTAATTAGCTTGAGCACATAAGATATCCCCACACCTGTATTCTGTCAACATGATGAAGGTTAAACCAAATAAATAAATAAAATTGAAAAGCAACTTCCAGCTTGCTGCAGTGCTCTTACTGGAAAAAGGTGAAAGCCAACTTCAAATCTCTCACAATTCTGTGATGATGGGGCTATTTTCAGGGAAAGAAGTAAAATTCATATAACTGACATTTGTGCTCTGTACTGCCTTCCAAAAACCTTGGCTACCATAGTAACATTATTTCCTCCATACTTGCTGCAGTGTAGTCAATTAGCTCCCTAACTGAAAGACAGTTATTGTAACTAGAGATGTACCTGGCTGGAAGAGCATTGAAATGCTGCTTATGAATGGCAGAGTGCTCTGAATTCCAGATCAGTAATCATTACTGCTGATCATGGAGGACATTTTTGGCAGTGGTTGAACCTCAGCAATTCAAAAGGGTACCTTTTCAAGTGGGTGCTGGCAAATCCCAGTCATGGGGATTCCAAAACACGCCCTGCCACATCTGTGAATCTGCATGCACCACTGCTGGGGGAGGGGGGGTGGGGGGGGAAGAAAAAAAGAGAGAAAAAGAAAAAAAGCAAAAAAAAAAAAAAAGCCCAACTTCCATTGTGTACCTTAACTGCATTCTGCAGCCATCACAGGCACAACTTATGGCTGCAAAACTTTATCAGAGAAGGATCTTAAGAGCAAATTGCAGAAATCCACATACATCAATATACAGAATTCAGGCTGATCCTTGCAAACACAAACATTGTTTTGGCCCCTTTGTTATAAGAAGCCATGCAGACCTCTGAGCTGTCCCAGCCCAGTGTGAAGGGCTTTATGCTGCTTTCCTTACCATCAGTGACACTGGTCACCTTGGAATTCATTTTGCTCCTCCTGACACTGGTGCCATTGGACTTGCCTTGGCTTTTCTCCAGCATAAGTGTGACCAGATGTAGGTTCTGAGATTGTCTGACTCCAGCTGATAAGCTGCTATCAGAACTTCTAACACATCCCAGAGACATTCTTTGTTTCTTCTTTGGAAATGTCAGATACTGGCCATTGGAAAAAGAAAACATCTGTTTTAATCCTCCCAAAGGAACACAAAGGTTTTGTACTGGTTTTATGCAGCCTCAAAGCCCTTTATTCAGCTAAAAAAACATTCCTTTGTAGAACTGCTGCATTTTTTTCTGTTGTTAGTTGTTTTTTTTAAAAACTAAGCTACTAGTTTTCGTTCTTTTTTTTTCTTTGGGAAGCATCACCATCCCATTTCCCAGGATGACCAGGGAAAGGTCCTTCCCAGAAATTTCCTCCTCATAAATAGCTGTTCTCCAAAACAAACTAAGCTCATCCTCCACAAAAAATAGCACCTAGGCTCACAGTTAATAGATCTTACCCCTGCTTTGTATAGTTCTAGAGGCTTTTAACTAAACTAATAGTCTGAACTCTTCCCCCTCCTTATCTTAACAGTGAAACCCAAGGAAGGTCCTGTCACCATGGGGGAGGCTGGTACAGCAACAGCATTTGCCTACAAATGCCATCTCAGCTATGAATGTGAGTAGCATAACAAAACCTCCTTTTGCCCACCAGAAAACATCACTATATTTATCTGTGTCTTCCTGAACAGATGAGAAACTTCCCATAGTGTTCTGGAGCTACAGATCCTGACAGAGGCTGGGAATA